ATTCAGCATTAGCAATTCATCTTAATTTATAAGTTCGTGCCCACGATTCTCTACCAATAATTACTAGGTGATTACATGAGGTTGATGATGGTTTTTCAAAGACGTAACCTCGCGGTGAAAATCCGTGAGCATCGTCTTGTAGAGCTTAAAAAATGCCTATGAGGAAGTGTTATTTGTTTTTGATATCTTTTTAAACAGGGTTACAAAAAACTTAAAAAAACGACTTTTTTCGAATATTTTTGGAATTGATCGGAATTTAAGTTTATCTTTCATGGTTCTCTAACGATAGGTCTCAATGAATGGGATTAATTTCTACCAACCATAGTCTTCTTCTCGACCCCTTATCGTGATCGAATAGAATTCTTTATATTTCAAAAGCAGATTGTCAAAGAAGGGTACTCACAAAGGACGATTGGAGCGTCTGGAAGAAATATATTGCTGTGTAAACACGGTCAGTTTGGGACGTTGACGTTTGTAACAAGACATTTGGAATGTATGTGGGGGTTATTAATTGGTAATTAAATTGTGAATTGTAATTTTTGCTAATCAATTTCGTTGGAATTATTTACGAATTGACACAAAACGTGCCATCATCAGGTGCAATTATTTCCGGTAATTAATTAGTGTTTGGTGTGTTCGGATTGTGTTTGAATATTGTTAACCCGAACAACGTAAGTAATTTGTTGTTTAATTTTTGTGTGTCAGTTACTATTAGATAAGATTTTATTGCTTAATTTCATGTGTGAAGGTAGGATAAATTTAACCTGTCAAATCTTGCAACTCGTGTGTTCATTCAATTCCTTTAACGACGAAGAGAGAAGTCTTGTGCTCTATTACGATTAATTTTATTGATTCGCGCCCAACGTTCATTTTAAGTGCGTGTCAAAATTTGCTAACCAGACTGCTTGGAATCGTGGCCATTATTTGCTTAGAATCAGGAATCTAAAGTCAGAATTGAATAATTTGGCTGTGCTGGGGTGCAGATGTGTACCGAGAAGAATTTGTATTAAAGAGCTAGCTAGGTTTGAAAAGTGTTATAATTGGCCCGAAATTCGAGGGTCACAGCAATATTCATTACTGTCAAACTCAAAAATTTAAGAGCGAATATCTCGAAAACGGTTTGTCGAAGGAAGGGCAAAATTAATCGTCCGGACGATACATATCTATTGGTAGAGTCGAAGCGAATATCTTCAAAACGAAGTGTCGAAAGAGAGTACTCGTAAAGAGCAAGTGGAACGTCAGTATGAGACATATCTATTGGAGATGTCAAAACTCTCAGTGCAGATATCGTCAGAACGGAGTGTAAGAGGAGGATACTCTCAAAGAGCGGAAAGATAGTCTAGACTAGGCAGATCTACTAGCGATGTAAACACTTTTATTTACGAAAATATTGAAGGAGAGTATATGATACTTACAAAGCGAAAATGCAATATTTCAAAGAATGCTCTAAGGAACTGAATCTTCATGCATTATATACCTACCATCAACGCGCTTATGGAATTATTGCCATAAGACTTGGGTATTTTTGTCTCGGACATTCCTACATATTGAATGGTTTAATCATTGATAGACATTTTATGACCGTTTACCGCCGGTCAAGGATTATTGTCTTATGGAAAAAGAATGCAATCCGGATTTTGTCTTATTCGTTATTATTCATTTTTGAAACGTAATGAATAACACTAAAAGTATAAGTAGTGCTGTCGTTCATCATATTCTATTCTTCAAAAAATAGAGGAGTACCTCAAACTTATTAGGTAGGTACTGATGTATCTCTCTAGTCTGATTATACTTATGTAGGTACCTACCGACTACCCTGTATAGAAAATATAGCCAAGTACCTGCAAATCTCGACCTATTTATAGCTCTGTCGAAATCCGTTAATTGCAAATATTTCAGAAGTTCATATTGTACTACCTGTCTTTCGACCCTTTCTAACAATAAAAATGTACCTACAATCTACCTATTAACTGTGCATAAGGTCTGAGACCTCTCAACGAGTAATTTCGTTTATAACTGATTAATATTTTTCGAAAAATCGACGTGTTGCTAGTGCGCTCCCCAAAGCATAAATGAAGCGGCTGAACTAATAAAATTAAATTGCATGTGAAGCTATAATAGCATTCCATAGATTCTCTAAGTGAACACACAAGTCGTAAAAGAGCCGAAGTAAAATTCTATATTAAAATTCGATTAAAAATACCGCTGTGATGCACTAAAAATGAAAATAGTGCAGTTTTCACACTATGTAGGAAATATATCATTCTGACACTTTGTCATTAGCCATTTTTTTGTGTAACAGGAGTGCGAAACGAAATGTAAAAATAAAAATTGCTCAGTCGAATTTTAACCTAAAATGGACAAAATCGGCTTGAGCTTTGGCTAAATATTAGATTTTTGCGTAGTGATTTCTCATAATATGGCGTATTCAGCACAGTTTGACATAGTTAAGTGCTGTTAATTCTAAACTAAGAGGCAACACACTTTTGGGTTCCCAAAATCGACTATATCTCGAAGACACAGGCCTTGCATTGCAAAAGGTAGTTTATTTCGCCCGTAGGAAACCAAACCAAATTCCGTGACAGAAGTTGTGCGCCTGTAGAACATATTTCTGACGACACCAATTTGAAAACAATCGAAACAAAACTACAAAAAGATAGGAAAAATCCGAAATATCACCACGTTAGTATAACACGCTCGGGGATGGCGGCCAGATTTAGCCGACCCCACATTATGTATTCCCGTCCCTATAGTTGTTAATTACATAGCTCAGGTAGGATCATGCACACTCCTCGTTCTTTTACGTTCCCGCATTTCCTGCCAGCCAGCTAGCCGCGCGAAGATTAAAAGCTACCTTTTACAAAAAACTTGCGCTAAAGAACACGTTGCGCAGTTGTAACGGCTTAGAAGACCTCACTTGCATACTATAAAAATAAACCCCTACGGCACCCCAATTACCTAATTTTTCATTTACCGACGGATAGCTCAGTAATTTGAAAAAATTCTTATAGCCATTTTGCTTGCGGAAGTTTGACCTCTTATCTCCTCTTAAAATCTGAAATTCAAACTCTAATGTTCTGATTTGATTGAATAAATACACTAGTGAACTTAGTTGATTTAATGTAATATATATTTATTTAAACAAAGGCGATCAAATTCCAATTTTATTTTCACGTTCCTGGATGTAAAATACTGATTTGATCTAGGGTTTGATTCATAAAAACAAATACAAAAAAATCAATGCATATTTCGTGATCTTTAACTGCCAGTCGCAAGTGTGGGCGTGTGGCGCAGTGATGTGGAAGCCCCACTTCGGTACTTAGGATCCCTGGTTCGAATTCGGGTTCGGGAATGGATATTTGTAAATGTATAGTGGGTTGCGTTGGTAAAGCGGCAGCAGCCACTTAAACATAAAGTCCAAAAATAAATAAATAAATAAAATAATGTTATTTTTACCACATAATGAGTTATTGATACATTCTCCTATTTAAATATATTAACATTCTCCTTCGGCCAAAAGAGGTTTCTTGTCAATAAGTGCAATACAAAATTAATATGCAAATTCCTAAAAATAATCAACCACTACTTTATACAAATCAAAAAATTTAAAATAACTTGCACTAGCTAACGTGGTTGAGATTTCTTTCAGGTTACAATTATTGGTCTCAACTCTCCTTGGAAAATGCTGCCCCCTTTAAAAATATGGAAACAGACCACTTCAATGGTACAGTTGACTCCATGATGAATGCAAAACATAAATGTCGTATTGCGAATCCGAGCAAACCGGCTTCATTTTCGCGAAGGTAATACTCGATATCCTGACTATGCATAGGAATAAAATGCCAATATTCCGTTGTGTGGCTATTAATTTTGCTCGTTTAGAGATTGTTGCAGGTAAATGCACTGATTAATTGTCATTAAATGCCGTTGTATAGAAAATGTTATTTATCGCACAAGGTGCTGTCCGAAAAGTCTTCTATTTATCACGATGAGTTAGATATCAATTTATTTACTCGCGGTTTGATTTTAAAAGCTCCCCTACTCAAAAATGTTCCTTCCTGTAAATTTTATCACTCGTGTACTTACAGGTAACTCGCATTTTTTCACCAATCTTACTTACACGCTTCTTAACAACGCGATTGAAATTTAGCAATAACCAGCTGGTTTCTGTATGTTCACTCAAAAGGAAACTAGTTGCACTTTACACTTTATAAACTCGCACGAAAAAATGGTGCAGGTGGTGGCAAATTTACGAAATAAAATTACTCGTACAAAAAATGGCACGCGCCTGCTTTTATAACTTCGCTAAGAATTTCAGCGCACTTAAAACGGTACGTGATGGTTCACGAAAATCACCATAGAATGAATTTTCAACGCTAGAAAAATAGACGCACAAAAACAGTGCACGGGATCGCTCGCGAATTAGTCTGCGAATCTCATTTTTTTAACGAACCCAAATAGTACAATTCGATACGCGAACACAAGTTCTTCCACTTCTTTCAATATTTGAATTTCGCCCACGAGAAAAACCGAAAAGGGACTTATTTATGATTGCAAAGTACCTCTATTGGCCTGCCCTAACAACCAATAGAACACCGGCATTTTTGTTAGGGGCTCGGCTTTAAACAGACCGGACAGATGGTGGCAAACCGCGCTCAATTTCCGCAATACGTTTCTGGTTATCGCTTATTACCGCCATACTTTCATTCTCATTCGCTATGAAGCGGTACATGTGAAAGTGTCCCTATATTGACGAAAATACAAATTCAGAACGAAATTTTTGAAAATGGCCAAACTAAACTTTTTTGATTAGTTTGTCGATACTTTAATAATGTCTCTCGATTGAGGTAAGGGCTATGGAAAATCCGTGTACAAAGAAAGTGAGACCCACGGATCTGTCTTTTTTCATGCATTAAGAGTTTATACTTAAAAAGACAATTTCAAAAAATACTGGATATTTAATCAGTAATCACTAAGGTATATTTGGTTATTACTTGCAGGTTATGGGCACATGTTCCCTACAACCGAGCTTGGAATGATCTTCACAATCATCTACGCCCTCATCGGTATTCCATTATTCCTAATCACACTAACCGACTTTGGCAAGTTATTCACCCGCGCAATCAAAGCACTGTGGACCTACGTTCGTCGCCTTTACTACACGGGCAGCTGTCGTAAAGTACGGAAGAAGGCACGCGTTTCGGTAAGATGCCGGTCGTTAATAGCCATAGTAAACGATCAGTTTTAGGAAATCATTCAGGGCGCCCAGCTGGTTTACGGCATAGCCCTAGCGAGCAAACGCGCCGTCTTCTCAGATGGTGGAGATGCCGAAAATGAAAATCCGCAAAGTAAGGAGGAAAAGGAGTCCAAAATGTCGCCGGCCGATTTCGAAGTGGACGACGAATTTAATCTACCAATTTCGGTGGCCATTGCAGTATTACTTGTGTATATTTTTCTAGGAGCTATTATGTATTGGATATGGGAAAGTTGGGATTTTTTTACCGCTTTCTACTTTGTCTTCATTTCACTATCGACGATAGGCTTCGGAGATTACGTACCGATACATAACTTATGCATGATAACATCCGTTGCGTACCTAGTCTTTGGTTTGGCCTTAATGTCCATGTGCATCAACGTTGTGCAGTTGAAGCTGGCCGAGACGTTTTCTATCGCCTCCACGAAGTTGCGGGCTACTATAGGAAAAGGCGGGAATCAGACTGAGCTTGAGACTGAAGCGGAGATACCATGCGCTGAAGATATTCGAAGGAGTTTAATTATAACCGAGGATAATGAGGATAATAACGAGGAAAACGATTTGACTGAAACAAACGTAATGATAGAACGTAGTTAACATAAGGTTCAGTTCTCGTAATTGCATTTTTAAGGTACCTATCTGTTGCACTTATGGAAATTCATTTTGTACCCACTATCGATCTGTTAATAAAATGAAACTACTCGGTCATTAGATAGCAAATGTAACTCTTCCAACTAGGTACCTAATTAGTGAAGTAATTTTAAATAAGGAATAATTATTTATTTCACAAACATTGTACTGTAGTGCTTATCACATTGTAATACTTATCTGTATATCATACTTACATATGTTTCGATCAAGCGTTTCGATACCTACACTCTAATCTGAAATTGTTTCTATAGCGGACAGTGGTCAAGTAACAATATTTTGTACCTACCTATTCAAACATGAAAACGATGCTAGACACTGATATGTAAAGTATGTACAGGGAGTTTTAGGATCACGATTTTCATTCCTAGGAAAAACTTGAACGCTCTTAACGTCAGTAGATCATCCACGTACTCTCCTTACAAGGCTTGCTTTTGCTTCACTTTTCGTACTATTTGCTCGAGGCTAATATCACTCTGGCACTGCGTTTGAAATGAAACTCATCCATGAGAGCAAAGAGTGGCTGATTCCATCTTCAGGGAGCATGCTTCGGACCAAGAGCGATTTATCTAAGCACCATAGGTACCATGCTTCAACGGGCGGTATTAAATAAAACGCCGTTGTAAAATTGTTGCATTTAGTTACAATACGTGCAATGGAGCATCATCTCGTTTGTAAAGATACATTCCAGTAAAGTCCTAAATAATTTCGATTTTGTATACATATATTTTCCAGTCTACGGAAAAGAATAACACTATCGCAGAGGACACTATGTATTGTAGGCGGTGCAGTGACTGTGTAAAGACAGTGTGAAAATATGCTCCATGTTCTTTCTAAATTTCCAAATTGATAGATTTTGCTAGTATGGTTATAATATTGTCGGACAAGTTTCATGATGTTGATAAGGAGACCGGGGTTGGTTGTTACAGGGGCCGGTTGTTACATTGCATTTAAATAGCGCGCCTTTGGGAGAGTGTGGCTATTCTGCATACTAGATGTGCAACATTCACCTACTCATGTTTCCGCGTAATTGTGTCGCGTTTGGTGAAGTCGGTGCTAGGTGAGTTTAATTTATGTGTTTTTAAGCCCTCTGAGTAAATATTAAATGGTAAACTCTTTGTTTTATAACAAGTACGGATAAACTCCGACATATCTGGAAATTTCTTGAAGTAACATTGATAAATAGAGAATATTTTTCATGCTTGCCCGTTGTGATCACTTCAAAGGTTATGTAGCAATGGCCATTTAATCTTGAATAGTACAGTTGGGGCTGGTTGTTACAGTGTTGTCGGGGTCAGTTGTGACATTGTAACAACTAACCCCGTGATCTATTTTGTTGTGAAATCGAAATGTGAGTGAGAAGGGTTGATCATTTCACAGAATGAGGACCTACAAACGGAAAACCCAAAGAGTCTCGGAAGAAACGTTCCGTGCTGCGTGCGTCGAGGTTTTGGAAAACAATAGATCGCTGCGCATAGTGGCGGACGAATTTAATATAAACTTTATGACGCTACAAAGATATTGTAAGAAAGTGAAAGATGATGGTAAGCAGGGATGATAATAGCTTTTGTTAATTTTTTGTAACTGTGTGTATTACTCCCTACTGCAGTACCAAATCCAACGGTCGGCTATGTAAAAATCGACAGGTTTTACCGGATGCAATGGAAGAAGACCTTTAAATTACCTGATCGAATGCTCCAAGATGTATTTTTGTCTTTCAACAAAAGAAGTAAGGAGGCTAGGCTACGAATTTGCTATCAAAAACAACATACGAGTGCATGATGGTTGGCGTGAGAATAAGATGGCATCCGCTGACTGGTTATCTGCGTTTCTTAAGCGTCATCCACATTTGTCTTTACGAACTCCAGAGGCAACTAGCCTCAGCAGGGCAACCAGTTTTAACAAAGAAAACGTTAACAACTTTTTTGATTTGATTTTCGAAGTAATGGCCCGATACAATTTTGAATGTCAAGACATATACAATATGGATGAGACTCGAGTAACAACCGTGCAGAGACCGGAAAAAATCGTCGCTAGAAAAGGAGTCAAACAAGTTGGATCAGTCACCTTTGCAGAAAGAGGTACTTTGGTGACATTGGCTCTAGCAGTAAGCGCCAGTGGAAACGCAATTCCACCCATGTTCGTGTTCCCACGTCAGAACTACAGAAACCATTTCGTTGCCAATGGTCCACCAGGCTGCATTGGAACGGCGAACAAATCTGGTTGGATGATACAAGAACATTTTATAATTTTTTTAAAACATTTCATCAAACATTCAAGGTGCACTAAAGAGAGACCAGTATTGTTGATTCTCGACAATCACGATTCACACCTTTCACTAGAAGGTATCGAACTCTGCGGGGAAAATGGAGTAATAATTCTATCACTGCCTCCACATTGTTCCCACAAACTCCAACCACTCGATCGTTCGGCTTCGGTATATGGCCCTTTCAAGAAATACGTCAACAGCATGTCTGATGCTTGGATGCGCAGCAATCCCGGAAAGACTATGAGTATCTATGATATTCCAGGACTGGTAAGAGATGCTCTACCATTAGCCACTACTCCTAATAATATCCAGTCAGGGTTTAGAGTTTCTGGCATTTGGCCTTTAAATCGACTCATCTTCACAGATGACGAATTTCTAACGAGTGCCGTGACAGACCGTCCAAATCCAAATGTTGGTAATGAAGAAAGAGACGGTGACAAGGGAAAGAACGGCGACGTGGGAAGACCAACTGGCAGAGAAGAAAATTTTGCTGATGCAACAAGACAAGAAATAATGAATGATCATCCCTCTGAATCAGCAACAGGAATATCCGCAGAAGAGGAACAGTCTAAACCTTCTATTCTTGAGAGGCATCAAACGCCACCTCCAAAGCCGCCGGGCTCACCCGTGTTGATTGAAGATTCTGATGTGTCAAAGCCTTCAGGATCAGGACTATCGGGTCATTCGAAAACTCATTACAGTCCTTCAGATTTAAGACCATTTCCCAAGGCTACGAAACGTTTGAATACTAGAAAGGGCCTCAAGAAACGTAAGACGGCTATACTGACAGATACTCCCAATAAAAATGAGCTCCAGGAAGAACAAGAAAAGAGAAATGCGAAGAAAATCAAACAGATACTGAAATCTAAAGGGACAAAGCGAGATCTATCTACTGCCATTGCAACGGACAAAAAACCAAATAGAAAGAAGAATAAGAGAGCGAAATACGAAGAAACGGATGATTCAAGTGATGAAGACACTTTTTGTTTAATATGCTCTGAACCTTACTGTAATTCAAGACCTGGTGAGAAGTGGATTAGATGCACTACGTGCCGCCAATGGGCCCATGAGGAATGCACGGATGGCATGAACCCGTTATTCTTCCAGTGTCCAAACTGTGATTCGGATGACGACCTATCTGACTAATTTTAAATTTTTTTATTTGCAATATATTTTGAATTTTACGCAGTACCTTCCTATTATTTTGATTATTACCCAAGGACTTTATTTTCTTTGTGTTGTATACCTAATTTGTAATGTTTTTACTAATAAAAATCTGAATATTGTGTGGAATCTGTACCATAAACAACTTGCCCCGAACTTGTAACAACCGACCCCGACCTGGGGCCAATTGTTACAATCTGCACAAGTACCTGAAATAATTAATAGCATTTTTTTTGGTAACTTTAAAACGTAACTGCTATGTTTTTTATATAGAGGAAGATTCAATCAATGTGTGAGTGCATGCTGTTTCTCTCCAACTATCAACACACATATAAAAAAAAATCAAAAGTGAAAATTGTAACAACCAACCCCGGTCTCCCCTACAGTATTTAACCTAATGACATTGAAATATAGATCAAAACTAATAAACTAGTACAACATTTTTAACCCCGTTAATGTGCCAGAGCAATAGGGGTTGTACTGCCAGTGACGTCATTTGACCTAACCGAGTGCGGCCGTTACAGTGGTTACGGTGCGGCACACCAATAACAAACCGTACACGTGCTAAGCAACGAATCTATTAGGCGCTTTCTTTCGGCTACTTCGCGATTATGATTTCAAGATCGTGATTCGTAGGATCACGTTTTACGAAAGAACGCGCGAATTTAAATCAAAGTAAGTATGGTTAAGTACATATTTGCACTCGAATTACGTATTTTTTGATTGAATTATGAAAATAACTTAAATACAAGTGGAAGTACTTGCACGATTATGCTCCTCTTCAGTTATAAATATTGACTAACCTAACAATTGAGCAAAAATATCCTTGCATTTATAGGTTAGGAATTCGGGATCATAAAACTTTTATGTTCAGTTTGTTTACAATTTTAGCAATCATGATTATAAGATCACACTTCGAAAGAACGTGATTTGACAATCCAAACGCGTTTGGATCACCGAAAGAAAGCGCCTGTAGTATCGTATACGAATAGGTCAAGTGACGTCACACGCTGAAAAGAAATTATTTTTTCCATCGCAACTTTAATGTCTTGTAACTTTTTAATTTGTGGAGGTATTTTAATGAATCTTTCGCATTTTTGTTTCGGTTTACTTAATTTTTTTCATAATTCATTTACAACAAAAACCTGGAAACTTTTCCGTTTCCAGAGCGAAGACTTCGCCGGCTTGGTTTCCAAGTTAATTTCTACGAATCCTGTGTAGCTGGCTGAAACATCCCAACTAGGAAAGTAACACGACTATATGACTACGCTGTCTTATATAGTCACTGTCGTAGGAACTAACTAAAAAACGGCAAGTCAGCCGAAACCCTAGTGCTAGAGTTTGGAGGGGGACTTCAAGGGAAGTGACGCGTTCCAGCATTTATTCTTCCCTTGTTAAAAATACCATGCGGTGCATGTGTTTGTTTAGTTTACTGTGTTTGCAGTACCTAGAAAGTATGCCCACGAGTAACCTCAGGTTCTTTCTTGATACCGTAAGGATAAATAAAGTGATCACTTATCACTTTAACAAAAAGAGTAGATAAAGTGAAACAGATAATTGTAAAGTCGTTAGATATAGAAAGTACCGCAATCATCCACCATTTTTGGGCAAAATTTCCTGCCAACTTCAAAATATTAACAACTAAAATCTGAATAACTGTTATTTTTTATAACTTAACTTTGCATAACATTGTTATATATTAAAAAAATAATTTATGCGGAAGAGCATTTATATCAATCGGTTAATAATAATATTTTGTCTCGAGGCTGTGCAACCAAAAATGAAAATAAGGTGAAAAAATCGGGCGATTAATGAAATCCAACCATAACTGTTTCCTTTGCGCATTTCTTTCTCCACTTGGCAAAGCTAACAACCTCAACACAGCCCTTTAACACAATTGTTTTTATAACCTGAAACACAAAAACCCGGAATTTTTCTTTCCTATCGTTTGAAAAAATCTTAAGGAAATTTTAATATAAGTATTTGATTTATTAGGAAAAAAAGTCAAATTTAAAATCCTTGACAAAACAGGCGAAACAATCCCTAACATTAAAGTTACTAGAATCTGGTAACGTACGC